TAAACACACATGCACTGGTTGCAGTACCATGTAAGAATCTAAACATGAGGGAACAACCTGTATAAGAATTATAGGGCCTGGGCAGATAGCTCAGTAGAATAAGCGCTTGCCTGGCAAGCACGGGGTCCTGAGTTCAATCCCTGGTACTGAAAAAAAAAAAAAAAAAAAAAAAAAAAAGAATTACAAAATCAAGTCGCAGGCAGGTCTTGCTCTGGCTCTTGAGCTTCTGTGCTCTGCCCAGCTCCATACTGCCTGCTGTTGTTGCTAATGTCCTGCACACGTTCGTTCTTTAAACTGTGGCCTCACTCGAGAAAATCCCCCTTGTGTCCCGAGCGGGCTGACAGACTCTTACAAACAAAGAGCAAACAACAAAATAAAAATAGCTAAAACTAAAACCAATAAAGGACTGGGGTTGTAGCTCAATATGAAGGCCCTGGGTTCAGTCCTCAGAACTCCATAGAGGGAGATTTATTTATTTTATTTTTTATTTTTTGCGGCACCAGGGATTGAACTCAGGCCCTTGCGCTTGCCAGGGAAGCGCTTATTCCACTGAGCCATCTCCCCGGCCCCTAATAGAGGGAGATTTAAACAAGAGAGACAGAAAGAAATTCTTAAATGCCAAACAACTGACAACACCCCCAAGTGTAAAATAGGGTGACAGGCATGGTCCATTGTATCCGGGGATCTGCCTTTGGCTGCAGTGATTGACACACGTGCAACAGAAAGAGCTGGCTCTAAGCTGTGTGTACGGAATAACCCCGTGGGTGTCATGCAAGAGCAGGAATGAGAGCATCCGCAGTGTGGTGGGGCTGCGGGGCAAGCGGGCCTCCGGGGGAGGGGCATGCCTGCTGGCTCTGCAGTGGGAGGCTATGTGGGTATTAACTGAGCTACACACTTGTGTATTTTTCTTTGCATGTATGTTACACACCAATGAAACTGTTTGAGAAATTCCACTGTGCCCAAGGAATCTGCCATTGAACTGGGTGGCAGACGGCTGGCTTGGCTGCTACCGTGGTCCCTGGGGGGGATGTGCCCTTGAGGAGTGTGGCACAGAGGCCCGAGAAGCTGCCTGTGCCAGCTGTGCACACAGGAAGGTGCTCAAGCCCTGGAGCGCCAGGCAGTGACTCCCAGGGGGTCTGAAAGGGCCAAAGGAGGATGGTGACAGGTTTGTATCCCTCAAATCTCAGCCCAGTTCACTCACTGGGACATAGGGACTTTCTGTGACCCCATTAGGGGATCTCTTATCATATGCAGCTGCAGGACAAAGAGGCCAAAATCTAGATACAGTTTGATTCCGCACGGGGCAGGAACAGGAGTGATTTAGGTACGAACTTAAACAGGGGCTCGGTTTCAGCAGGCAGATAGGGAAACTGTTTTTCCTCTTTTGCTATCACCCGCCTCACCTACTACCCAGAAGGTAGAAGTGATGGGTGGGATGCCAGCAGCCATTATGAACTGTGAGGTAACCCTGAGGGTGTCAGTCATATACTAAGGTTGTAGTGTGAAAAGAGGTCAACTTCCAGAGAGACTGCCTTCTCTCTTTTATTTGACAGAAAATTTTTTTTAAATGTCATAGAAGCCTCTGCTATTTTGGATTGTCATTATATGAAGCTACAACTAAAAATATCAGTACAGGTGCATCATCAGTAGTTCTGGCTCTGTGCGCCAGCCTGAGCAGCTGGGCGTGAGTTAATTATCTCCTCAGTTAGTTGACAGGAAATCAGACGTAGTGGCCATGAAATCCTCAGGTTGATGCAGAGAAAGGAATGGCAGGCACCCCAGGGCTCTGGATGTGTGCCGTGGGCAGTGATTTCGAGGGTTTCTCTGGACGGACCTGAGAGCGGCCTCTGCCAGGGCCCAGGACACCATGCACGCACACACGCACGCACGCACGCACGCACGCACACACGCACACACAGCAGAGGCACCGGCTGGGACCAAAACCGAGGGGCAGCTTGAACGCGTCTTGGCAATTGCCATCACTGAAAAACGGTTCTGGCAAGCAGGGGGGACTGGAGCCGTCAGGACTCCTGCGCCCAGCACCACTGCAGGGTTCACCTGTGCGTGCGCAGCACTGGGGTACTGTCCGGCCTTGCCAGGGGGGCCGACACCACTGCCAGCCAGAAGCCAGGGCCTCGCGCCTGCCTGCTGGGCAGATGTTGTCCTGCGGAGGGACTCCCCATATTCCAGTCTACCCAAGTAGGGACTCCTGCAGGGGGCGCTGCAATGGGCGCAAAGGCACGCGCCCTGCTGTGGGACTCACCTGCGGAAGGTAGTCTCGTTTATTGCCCCGTCCCTTTCTCCATCGCTCGCTGTCTGTCTTTCCCTGTGTCTGGCCCTCTCCCTGGCACCTCCACGAGTGTGCACGTATCCTGCTGCATGCCATTCGGCTCTTGTTTGTGCCCACACTGTGGTCTCTGGACCAGGCCAAAACAATGACAGGTGTGTTTCCCTGGAGTGCACCCCATAGCCACAAGTGTGTGTCCCAGGCCCTTAGGAACGGGCACAGCCTCCATTAGGCCTCGGTAGGTTTTTGAGGTGACAGGTGCAACGCTTTGGGTGTAGCTCCAGCTCCTCTGGAGATCCAGAGGCTGGTGGCAGAGCTACATGTGGCTCCTCCTTGGGAGCAGGACATTACACATGGGGACTTTGGGGTCCCCTGTCCAGATGAGAGGCACTGAGGGGCTGTGTGGTCCTATAGGAGGCCCAGGTGTCAGGCTGAACACCTCTACACAGGGACCTCTCTCCTCTCGAGCCATGCCTGCCTGTGGCTGCATAGTGGCCCTCTGTGGACAAGATCTGCCCTCTGCTGGGTGCTGCTGCAGTCCCTAGAGGCCCAGTGACCTGTGTCTGATCCAGACCCCAGTGGAGTTGTTCCAAACCAGGGCAGGAGTTTCAGGTCTCACTGCAGGCCCACATGGGCTGAGTGCCTCCCTGGGGCAGAATGCAGTGGGCACCCATCACTGTCTGTGTGGACAGAGGCAGGGGGCAGAGCGTCACCCCAGGGAAGGGTGTTGTTCTACCGCCAGAGAGCCTGGGGCCCCAAGGAGGGAGGTGGCAGGCGGGACTGTGAGCTCTGGGAAGAGCACAAATACAGATACCTGGAATCGCCACACGGGCCAGCAAATCCGTAAGGGGTGGTCAAAAAATATGGTGAGTGTTTAAATAGAAAAAATAATTATTACAGCAAAAGACACATTATCATTCATCCCCCTCACTTGGAACACGCTGATCCCATCCTCCTTGCTGCTTCCTGAAGCAGGTCTGCAAGTCCTCTTTTGTGAGTGTCTTTCCAGGTGTGATTAAAAAGTAAGGTATATGCTGCTGCTGAGCTCCACTGAATAAAAGGCAGGTTCATGAAAATGCGGGACCTGGCTCTGTGACTTCTGGCTCTTCCTCAGCGTCAAAATGGCCACAAAAGGGAAATGTCTTTAATCCGTTCAGGACACCAAGGCAACCACGGCAGTGCAACTTAAGACACTCATGAAAGAGGACTTCCAGAACTGCTTCCGGAATGTGGCAAGAGTGATACGCATGTTCGAAGTTGAGGGGAAGCATTAGGGGGCTGGGGGTTCATGGCAATGTGTCGTGGCAGCGTGGGTTCTTCTGAGGGGACAGGTGGGCTACTATGTGGTGTCATGCTGCATGTCTTTTTCTGGAGGGAGGAGCAAGACTTTGAGCTGCTCATCCGGGCCTCGTCACCAAGGTGGATGGGATCCAGTATAAGCAGTCTCCTGGCCTGTGTGTGCGTGGCATGTCAAAGCCTGGGAGGCGACTGGCCCCTGGTGGCAGGTACTTGTAGCCACCCCTTTCATCCCAGGAGGTGGCCAGCCATCCTCTGGGAATGGGTACCCACCCCAGGCCCACCCCTCATCCACCTTCAGAAAGAGCAGGCAGTGCCAGATGGACCTGGGGTGGACACAGGACCTGGCACTAGGGCAGGGTCCCTTCAGGAAAAGGTAAGGTGGCCTTGAGACAGGTGGGAGGTTGTATGCTTGTAAGGCGGGTGGGGTGGAGGGCTGTCCTGGCATGTGGCCACAGCCCTTGACCGCTCCCTGCTGGGTGAGCCTTGGGGCCTTCTCAGCTCCAGAGATGCCTGGCCTCTCTGACCAGCATGGAGCAGGTACACTAGGAAGTAGGGATACCTTAGGGCTCCTGCTGGTGGTGGGGGAGGTGTCCAGTGTCTAAGGCTAGCTGCGTCATTCTCTCAAGCCCCAAGACCACAGCTCCCCCACCTGTCCCTGGGCTTGTGGGTCACCCAGTGTCTTCCCAGGGGCCCCTCTCCTGCCTGACTCAACTCCCTCTTGAGACTTTTATTTGTGGTTGGGTACCCTGGCGAGGGCTAGTAGAGTTGTTTCCAGTTTCCATTCTTGCAAACATGGAGATGTGACTTTTCATCCTTCTGTCCATGTGCCTGCCAGGACTTCCGGAAGAGACGCCTCACTCTGGCTCACCTTGCAGGGGATGCACTCTTCCATCTTTTACAGCCTGTTTCTCCTCAGTCTCTTAGTCCTAGTGTATAGTTGTGTGTGTGTGAGAGAGAGAGAGAGAGAGAGAGAGAGAGAGAGATACTGGGGATTGAACCCAGGTCTCTCTAGCACTCAGCTACATCCCCAGCCCTTTCTTATCCCTTTCTTATTTATTATTTTGGGACTGGACCTCACCAAGTTGCCCAGGTGGGCCTTGAACTTGGGATCTTTTGCCTCAGGCTACCTGTAGTGTTGAGATTAAAAGTGTGAAAAAATGGCCATTTTTTCAGGGGTCTCACCAGTCTGAGGTGGGCCTGTGCCTTGTGCCTGCCATCTCCCACCCTGTGGCCCCACCCTACTTTACCCCTTTTGCAGTGGTACCCGGCTGGGATGTTCACTTGCTAGGGCCTGTCTCCCCCACCCTGGCCTCTGGCTTCACGAGGATGTGGACTCTGTCTCACTTCCTGTCTCCCAGAACCCAGCCCTATCATGGTACAATCCCAGCAATGCTCCCCACATGAATGTACAGAATGGGAAGTACAGTGTGGTTTTAATGGCCTCAGTACAGTGACAGCAGTGGACGCAGAAGCAGCAAGGGGCTATGGGAATCCCACAGTGATCTTCTTGACTTCCGACCTAGAAGCTAGCCAGGCAGTGACAGTACAGAGACCTCAGCATCCACTGAAGTACTGAACATCTCAGGACCTGTGGTGAATGCTAGTCAAGGCCTTCCAGTAATTTCTGTAAGGTCACAGAGACCAGTGGAAGCAGGGAGACACCTGGTGGCTGATTGCTGAGGCAGCTGCAGAGAGGAAAGAAGCAAAGGAGGGGAGCTTCCCCAGCACCCGGGACAAGCCTCTGGGTGGCTGTTTAGTCCAGGCTGGTTGCGTTGGTCAGGTAGAAGGGCCGGATGGCCACGCGGAAGCTACTAAAGGAGCCTGCAGTGCAGGGGAAGGTGGAAGCGCCACGGGTGCTGTTGGTGTCCAGGGCACTGGGGATTGAGGCCTTCGAGCCGTGGAAGCCCAGGATGTCCACCACGATGCCACCTCTGCAGAGCATCAGGGCTCTGTTTTCATAGCCTATGGTGGGATCAGAGTAACCAGACTTGGTGAGGCCCAGGGCCGGAAGCTCATCGGAGGAGCAGGAGAACCCGTAGTTCCAGCAGCTCTGTATGGTGGGGAGATAGGCGAGAGTCCAGGAGACCAGTTTGGTCTTGAAGAGGAAGCTGGGGTGCTGCGGGGTCTGGAAGGACTGGTAGGGGCTGTTCATGTAGCCGTAAGAGAATTTGTTTACATAATAGTGTGGATAATTTTGGGACGAATACTTCTGCCTCTGGTTCCTGGAACTCAGCTGGTTCCAAGAATTGGCTGTCACCGTGGCACTCCAGGTGGCCGAGGTGTAAATCCGGGGCTTGTAGGCATCATTGTCGGTGAAGTTCAGACCTTGGTATTGGACTAGCAGCCACAGGGGTACTGTGTGGAACTCCAGGGCCTGAAGGATCTTTTTCTGGAACAGAGCCTCATGGTCCTGGTATAGGGACAGGTTGAACTGCAGCTGGAAGAGCTCCTCGGGGATCATCATGGGGAAGCGGACCTGCTCCAGCAAGGCCTCGGCCTCCCTCCTGGAGGCTCCCTGCTCCCTGCTCCAGGCATCCAGGGCCTGCAACAGGGCCAGCTCACTGGGCACGGCCACCTCGCTCCTAGGGAGGAGTGCCTGGAGGAGAGCTGTGGGGACACTCAGCCAGGCCTCGGCCTGAGTCAGGGCCCCAAAGTTCCAGGCCAGGAACTGCACACACCGCTCCTCCAGCAGGGCATCTCCTGTGTCCTTTGCATAGGTGTAGAGGTCGAGGGGTGTGTGGAAAGAGGGGTCCTGGGGGAGGAGGGTGGAGAAGAGGTGTCCACAGTAGTCCTGGAGCTGTATGGCCCTGTAGGCAGAGGCCAGCTTGTGCAAGCACTTCACAGATGCCAGGGAGACATCAATCCTCCGGGAGTAGAGGTACCTGGAAGAGACGGGGGATCTAGTGCCTGCCCTGCAGGACAGACAGCAGCTGTGCCCAGGTGCCATCGCCATGACTTGGCAATGCCCTGGGAGTGTGGTCTCTCCCAATTTGTCTTTTAGGTGAACCCACGTTCTGAATCCTGAATCTCCACTGTCCAAAAGCAACCTGAGGGTGTTGGCCCACGTGTCAGGGGATGGCCAGGGATAACCCCACTGCCACTTCCTCCGTCACTGGAGACAGAGGGGTCTCTACCACCCCCTGGCTCCCCTGCTTTTTCAGCTAGGTCTTCAGCACTGGCCCTCCTGCCCCAAAGTCATACCCTGGCCAGACCCATTCAGTGCCCTGCTGGACACTTCTCTGCCCTGCGGCTGCTCTGTGCCTTGGGATGTGGACAGCCTGACTCTCATGCCTGCTGTCCCTGTAACTGCAGCCCACTCAGTGGGCCAGACTCAGAGGTACCCCTTGCCTGTCTTTCCCCCGGCATGTAGGTACCCTGAGTCAGATCTCAGGAGCCCTGTGGTCAGTGTCACAGTGGGCTTGGAGACAGAGAAGCGCGCCTCTGTCCTCCTGTACCGTGCCCACCGGACCCATCTGGAAGCTGGCTGCTCTCCAGGAGGGGCTGGACTGGGAGTTTTGGGCACCAGCCTCCCTGCTGCTGACCATCTGAAGATGTTGGTGGCAAGAGAGAGAGGTACCACAGAAGTGTTTGTCACAGTTCTTAATGCTCATCCTGGCCAGAACAGTGCCCCTGGGCTGCAGAGAGCCCCCCAACCACCAAGGAAGGAGTGGGGAGCACCAGATCGTGCCCCTCGCAAAGTTGCAAGCTTCCTAGCACCCACCCATGGGGCCCAGCCTCGAGTAGGTGATATCCACGTCCCCAGTGGCAGGGGACACAGGAATCAGAGTGAGTCTCCTGGCTTTGCCCCTCTTCCTCAGGGCAATAAACACACCAAGAGGGAGGAACATGGCCCTAAGCCAGCAGGACTGGGGGCCCTGGAGGCTCAGAGTAACTAGCAGAGGAGCAGCTCATTGCCTGGTCCCTTGGCACGGGGGCGGGCAGCGTCTGGGGTGGCTTGAACAGGGAGGGGTCTTCTAAGGCCTTAGGGGCTCCCTGAAGCATCTCTGCTCACCTTGGGGAATGGGCAGGGGAGAGAGACATTGACCGGTAGAAAGAGACCAAGTCAGAGCTAGGGCAGGGGGTGGCACTGAGCTCTGACCCAGTGGGCCCAAGCAGGCGGAGCAGGCCCTGCCTCCATCTCAGGGTGCTACGACCGGACCCTCCAGGAGGGCTGCAGACTGCTTTAGCAAGCTTTTCATACTAGGCTGGAAAGAAACCATTTAAATGTGTTTTTAATTGCCAATACTGTTCTCTCCTAAATGTCATTTTCAGTTATATAAAGCTTTGGGTCATAAGGAGACAGAATCATTTTTAATAAATGCATGTCTTTTTTAAAGTGCTGCTTTCAAAATACAAGTCCCCAGGAGGCCTGTTTGGTGGGAAGACTGTGGAACTCTGAGTCCCTACTCAGCAGGGGGGACTTTGGGTCTCATTTTCCTCAGCAGGGATTTGGGCAGAGCCCCCAGCAGTGACACAAGCCATGTGGAGTGAGGCCTGGAGACCCCTCAGAGAGGCCAGCGGCCCCTGCATGGACAGCCATACTTCTCTGTCTTCTATGTGAGCAAGGACAACGAGATCAGAAGCGAGAGGACGACTGTGATGATTGTTTCTGAGTACTTAGGAGACTCTTACATTGCATCCCTAAGGTAGAGGGGGAGGGGTGGTGTGTGTGTCCTCCAAGTTTTGCACCAGGGTCTGCCTTTCTGAGGGCTCAGTGTCGCTGAGTCCCAGCCCTGTTGCCAGGGATCCATTGCCAGGCAGCTGCCAGTCCTGTGGCCTTGGTGGGAGGAGGGACAGAAGCAAAGGCCCCTCCTGCCCTCAGTGCACACCAACACACATGTACACACATACATGCACGCACACACGTGTACATTCACACACATACATGCACACGTGTGCACATACACACAAGTGCACACACATGCATGCATACACAAAGATGCATGCACACACACATTCTCTCTCTCTCTCTTCTTGCTCCCCAGACACCACACAGACCAGCTCAGCCGTCTGTTGCCTTACTCACGATCCCCAGATGCTCAGACGTGAGAGTCCAGGACTCCAGAAGTTTTTGTATTTGTTTGTTATTTGTTTGGTACTTGGGTTGAATCCAACCCAGGGCCTTTGCACTGAGCGACATCCCCAGCCCTTTTTAATTTTTGCACTGAGACTGGGTCTTTCTTAAATGGCTGGCCTCAAATTATGCTCCTTGTGTCTCAGCCTCCCGGGGGCAGAGACTGCAGCTGAGCTCCACTGCACTTGGCTCCCAAGAACGCTTATTGTGTGTCTCAAACATCTGCATGCAGGTGAGCTTGGGTGAGAGTACATGTGTGTGTGAGTTGAGTGTGTGCAGGAGTGGGTACATGGCAGGTGAGTGAGAACATGTCTGAGTGAGTGGGTGTGGGAATCTGGGAGTGCACCTGGGAGAGCTCGGGTGTGCATGGAGGCGTGGAGAGGTGGGCGTGCATGTGAGCACACAGCCCTGCTGCTGTGCAGGGGAGGGAGTGAGGGAGGGAGGAGGGCATGCAGGGCAGCTCTTGGCTCACGCGACTCACCTTAGAAAGTCCTTGACCACGAACATGCACTCGCTGTCCACGCGCATGATGATTTTGCTGCCCGGCTTCTCCCACAGGGCCTCTGCCTCAGGGTTGGCGGTCAGGATCACACTGTGGGCGCAGAGGCCCAGCACCTCCTGTTCCTCTCCTACCACCTGGATGGACAGGTCACAGCCCTGCTGCCTGTCGAAGATCAGGCCAAGGGCGGCAGCGAGCTCCCCAGAGAGGTCGAGCATATACTTGCTCTTGGTCACTGCAAGGAGAGGCAAGAATATGTGTGAGGACTGGGGCGCTGAACAGCTTGCTCTGGGACCCCAAATGCCACTTCTGCCCTCTGAAAGCCAGCCTCTTCCCTGGGAATGGTGGTGCCAGCCCCTGTGGACCTGCTCAGAAAGGCTTGGGAAGGTGGGGGAGGGAACAGTCTGACCTGCTCTGAGCCCCGGAAGGAGGTGCAGCTGCTCTCTGGGCCCACTGAACAAGAACATGTGTCCCCTCCAGGCCACATTGGCCCTCTGCCCTGGCCTCACATGCAGCAACACCCTGGGTGGGATCTGGTGGCCCCAAGCTCCACCCTTCTCAATCAAGGGTACAAAGGTCACCCTTCTAAAGCCAACCCTTGCCTGCAGGTGGTCTGAGGATGCCCACTGAGGAGGTAGGGGTCCATACCACCTCACTTTATAGCCTAGGAAGCTCCAACAGCCTCCTGGGGGTGAAACCTAGAGGAGTTATTACAGGATGCCCCAAAATACCCCTTCTTTCCTTACCTCACAGACCCTACTAGGAACCAAACATCGGGTTTGGTCTTTGCCCACCTTGGGGTGAATGGATCTTGACACTTAACTCAGGTGATTGGTCCCTGTTCCCCCCCACTGACCTTCAGGACCCCCAACTCACATCTCCAGTCTCCCTCCTTCTCATAGCAGCTCCCCTAATGCCCTTTGTGCCCGACCCCGAAGCCTGTCTCCTCCTGCCCAGCCAGCACCCACTCTCCAGACTTGCAGGACACCACTTCCGGCCCCAGGCTCCAGAGGCTCCAGTGGGGGTGGAGGGAGGTGGGTTGGAGCACCTCAAGGTCAGTGCACCAGCCCAGGAGGAAGCGAGAGAGGAAGAAATGACTACAGAACTCCCGTGGGGCTCAGGCTTGGGCTGCTGAGAGCCAGGATGGAGTTGTGGGCCAGGCAGGGCTGGGGGTCTGGGGGTCAGTCTTGTTGCCTGAGGCACACGAGTGCCCCACAGGCAGCCTGTGCCCACGGAGTGTCAGGCTGTATGGCTGTACGTGTCAGTGTGAAACATTCTTGCTTTTCTCAGGAAAGGAGCCCCCACCTAGCCTGCAGCCCCTCACTCAGTGGGCCGGGAGGCCTGTAGCAGTGGGATGGACCAAGGCTCTGGGATTCCTCCTGGGGAGGGATCAGAATCTACGGACCCTGTGCCCCACCCCACGCTGTGAGGAGTCAGTCACACAACCTTTGGGGGGAGGGACCAGGGAGGGACCACGTCCTGCTCACCGTTGGTACAGACTACGCCTGCGTCTTTGTCGTGGTTGCAGTAACTCTTCATCCAGCCCAGGGACCTGCAGCTGGCCAGTGAGGGCTCTGTCCCCATGCACTGCACCTCATCCAGCATGACAGGACCAGTCCCTGTGGGCACAGGAAGGACACAGGCTGGGCCTCAGCAGAGAAGAGGCCAACAGTAGTTCTCCTGTGTGAACACTGGAGGAAAGGCCATCCACTGACCAGCCATGGGGCCATCAGCTGCCCTGTCATTCCTAGACCAGCTCTGTGGCTTCCTGTTCTCTGTGACCCTGGCCAATACTCGGCTGTCGGTTCAGAGCTGTCCTTGTACTACTGCACCAGAAGCTTAGCCTCATTCTTACAAGGCTTAATGGCTGCCTCAGAGACATCAAATCAGTATACCATAATGCTTGTGGCTATCCCTCCACTGCGCCCTCGCGCCCTTGGGCCAAGTTCAGACAGGCCATCCTAAGGGGCGCCAGTACACGGATAACACTTCTTACATCAAAGGAGCCAGGCAGCAATTTGAACATTTGTGAAGCACAACTCTAGTTTGGGGGACTTCTCAGTGACCTCAGCTTTGGGAAAAGGCGTAGCAGTCCCACCTGGCCCAAATGCAGCTCCGCCCAGTGCCTCCGTGGCATTCTCAAACCCCAGAGCTCGGCACACGACGTTGGCATCAGCCAGATCCCAGAGGTTGTCACACACTGTCCCCCACTGGCCTCCGTAGAAGATCTCCACACGGCCCTCGTTGGCTGTGGTCCCGTTGACCAGCCTCATGTCCCCATCTTGTGCACCTGCAGGAGAGGCAAGGTCAGCCGGTAGATGGATTGTGCTGTCCTGGATGCACCAATGTCCCCAACACTGGGAGATGTACTGGGGTTCTGAGTTCAGCACTTCAAAACCCCCTTTCTGTTCATGTTCTGTGGGGATCTCCCAGGGGCCACGTCATCAACCTTGTCTCGCAGGTCCCTGTCCTTTGTTCCACAGAACCATCCCCAGCATCTCAGAGTGAATGCAGAGGGACCTCCAGGAAGAACAGAGGTAAGGAGGCCCCATAGTGACTCCATCAGTAAAAGCCTGTGGCTCTGGAATGTGCCTTGGGGACAGCAGACTCAGGGAACCCTAGACACACAGTCAGGATACAGATGCCCCACCTTAAGATGGGGCATGGCCCAATAAAGCCATCACAAATGGAAAGCACCCAACGTGGGAGGTGCATGCGATCCACCCAAGCTCAGGGACAGCCTGACTCCCACTGCAGTGTCAGGTGTGACCTCCCGGGCATGTTGCCAAGTGTGTCTCCCAAGACCATAGCAGGCTGGAGCTGCAAATCGCTGCCCTTGCAGCACTGTGTGTGAGTGTCAGACCTCAGACTACTCATCCAGAAAAAGGGAAATCAAGATGCCAAGAGCAGTTTCTACACAACGCATACAGGTTTTACACACTGTAAAGTGAAAAGGTTTTAAGCCAGAGGAGGGGCTGTTTGTACCAGAGGGGAAATGGGAGCTCCTTCTGAGCTCAGCCCACAAACGCCCCTGATCCCTGACTCCACTGTCAGGGTCAGGTGGGAACTGGGAGCCTGGATTTTGGGGTTGTCAGTGCTAACAGGAGAAGTACTGTGGAAGGTACGCCAGGCCTTCTTGAGAGGCCACCAAGATAGAACAGGGTTTCCAGGGCTCACAGCGGAAAGGCACCCAGGACCCTTGGAAGTCCGACCAGTGACCTATTGGCAGCCCTAGAAGCTGGCTGGTTTGAGTAGAGCTCTGCTAGGTTCCTGAGCCCATGGCTGGAAGGGATTCTTCGGTGTCCTCTCCAATGCCTACATCTCGCCTAGCTCCAGGAACACTGACTCCCCCAGATCCGCAACCCACCATCACTTGGCATGAGTGGAACACCACACAGGAGAGGAGACCCAGCTAGTCCCTGGGGATGCAGGTGAGAGGCAGGACACCTCTGGGGTCTTCTATGAATAAGGCCTTTGCTTTGGGCATTTCCCAGAGGCTCTACTTACCTTGAATGCCTGGAACCAGCAGCCACAGCCAGATGAGCCATGGGACAGCCATGGCCTTGCTTGGAAGCCTGACCCTGTGGTGGGAAGAAGGAAGTTAGGACAGAAGGAGATGCAGAAGTGGTTGGCCTCCAGGTCTGAGCTGCTCTGACCTTGCTGATCTGTATGCTGGCTGAGCTCAGGGGAGAAGGAGCAGATGTGCTGCAGTGTCTCCAGGTTGCAAGGCCCTTGGGACAAAGGCGGGGCTGTCTGGGGATGGGGTGGGTATGGACAGGACATGAGCCTGCCTAAGGGCTGAGGCTACAGAACACAGAGGGCATGCAGGCAAGAGGAGCTGGGGTGTGGAGAGTGGAATGGAGGGGTTGGTGCAGGCCACGGCGTCAAGCAGGAGGAGGTTGTAGAAAGCAGGAGCGACAGACCACAGGGAGATGCCCAGCTGGGTGGCCAATGGGTGGGGGGAAGGGGAGAGAAAGGGCCCAGCTGATACCTAGGTAGAGACCTAGGACATGGCTGAGACCCAGGACACCAAGGCCATAGGACCACCTGGGCAGGGAAAGAACTCAGATTTTGGCTTTTGGCCTGGAGTCTTCCCCTTTGTATAACTCCAAAAGCTTACTTTTTATCTCCATATGCAGTGACCAGCCTCCTCTCTGACCTTCCACTTGTCTTGCCTAGTGACAGCTGAGGAGCCAGAGAGGGCTAGTGGGGAGGGTTTGTGTCTAGGGAAGAACACTGTGAGGCCCAACCTGCTCCTGAGGGCCAGCAAGCAGGGGACTGGCCACTGGGCAGCACTGCTGTGAGCTCTGGTTATAGGCCCAGGCCTGCGGAACCTTGTGACTGGCTCTGACCCTTTGCTGCCCCAAGGGGTGTTGAAGAAGTACCTTCAGAGCCAGGGGGAAGTGCAGTCATGGTTGCCCAACCACTGCGTGGAATTTGCACTCATAAGACCCCCCAGGAATCTCTCACACATGGAGACACTGCAGGGCAGCTCACGAAGGCCTTGATGTGACCTTTGAGAAATAAGGGCTTGGCTGAACCAGCTGAAGCCCAGAGGCATCAGCCAGGTGGAGGTCACCCTCCAGTCACTGCATGCACCGGAAGGGCTGTGCCGTAGGAAATCCCCGTTCCTGGGGAAACCAGCATGGCCAGTGGAGCTGCAGCTGCCCACGCTGCCCAAGCCCTTGCTGTGTGGGCTTTGCTTTGCTCTTGATGCCAGCGGCTGTCCTTTTCTGCCCTTGGGTGGGAAGCTGGGACAAAACTCCTGGGCTGGTCCTTTGTGCAAGTTAGGAGAAGGGACTCTTTCAGATGGCTGCAGAGCTGGGCCTGGATACACAAACCTAAGAGAGGGCTGGCTTTTAACCAGCTTGCCCTTTGGGCTGGTATCTGAGTAGTGAATGATCTGCCCACCTGTATGCAGAGGCCCTATGGGCCTGGGAGCTGCAAAGATGGTTCCTGGCTCCAGAGCATGGAATCACATAACAACTAGGGCGCTTTCCCATCACCTACCCTGAGTGCAAAGAGTCAAGTGAGGCCCCACTGGACCACGCTGCAGAGAGGTGTGCCCAGCTGAGAGCAAGAGGCAGGAGCTTACCTGTCCAATGCAGCTGCTGAGGTGTCCTGGAGCCTCCCTCCTCCGCTGCAGGAACTCTGTGTGGAAGGCGTCCCCTGCAGAAGGGCCCTTTGACCCAGAGTACCTTCCCTGAATGTATGTGTCCAGACAGAGCCCGGGAAACACTTCAAAAAAAAAAAAAATCAGTCTGGTTTCACTTCCTAGAAATCACATGACCAAGGCTTACCCAGGGGTTGGCTGCTGATCAGACTACCCAGACCCCTACTGTTCCAGTCAGCCAGTAAGCAGTAGTGGCAGCCAGTGGAGAGAAACCTCAGGCTGGTGTGGGAGGCACAGAAGGAAGGCAGGGCCAGGGGCAGAGGTCCTGGGCTAGGGTCTGCATCCTGGCAGTATGGCTGATGATGTGGCTAAGCACCCTAGGACCTGGATTGAGTGGCTACCCTGCTCATGTCCTGCTGATTGTGCACTGGGCCATGGCCCCTGAGGATGCATAGTGCTGACCCTGGATGGGGGCAAGGAGGCCTGAGCTCCAGGAGACTCTGCCCAGGTGGATAGCTGGCAAGTTGGGGGGCTGTAACCTCACCCTATGTCTGTGTGCTTGTCACACCATGCCACCCACATGCAACAGCAGTCACAGTCCTAATGTCCCCCTGTGGCTGGGGGCTGGGAGGCAGGGTGGGACCTCACCTGGGGATGTAGATGACAGTGCCCAGCTCACACTGCCCCCTACAGAAAGGGCTTCGATTTCCCCCTGGGAGCTGACTGACTGTGTAGTGTCACAGGCCTAGGTTCCCTGTGTTGCCCCAACCCTGGCTAGCAGAATACTGCAGGCTCCTTGGCCACACAGTGATTTCAGGGAGGCACTAAGAGCCCCATTGGCAAAGTCAGAGTAGAGGGAGAACTCTTCTATGCTAAGCATCTCCAGGGCAGGGGCCTGGCAGGACGCTGCAGGATGAGCCTGTGGAGGTGGCTGGTCTGTGCAGCATGGAATTGATGTCCTCTGCTGTGCCTGTCACGTGGTGCCTAGGTGTCTCCAACCAGGGCTGTTTAACCTGGCTGGGCAGTAGAATAACCCGAAACAAACCCCAATGCCCAGATGGCCATGACTGGGACCAGGACAGACATCAGCATTTTAAAAAGCACTCAGATGGCTTTAACCTGAGGCCATCACTGGTTCTCAGAAAGCTCAGAGCCCAAGAGTACCAGTGGAGGTCAGATACCCCTTGACTATTTTTCTAAAGAATGGGGTACTATCTCAGTTACTCTTCTCTCATTGAGGGGACAAATACCCCACACTCAAAATGACAGAAGGAAAAGTTTATTGAGCTCACAGTTACTAAAGGTTTTAGTCCATACTTAGCTGGCTCCAAGGCAGAGTGGCACATGACTGAGGGCAGCAGCTCATGGCAGTGGAAGGCAGCAAAACAGAGCAAAAGGGAGGGGTAGCAGCAACAATAAGCTACAGAAAGCAAGTCTGTCCTCCTTATCTGCCCTAGGTTGGGTGTAGCACTCACACCCAGAATCCCAGCAGTACTCAGACCAATAATCCCAGCCTTGGATCATGAATTAATCTCAAAGTGTAGAACTGCGCTTCAATGACTGCATGAGGCTTTGGGGGGACATACACACAAATCATAATAGGTATCCTGTGGCTACATGGTCAACTTGTCACCTCTGGAGAATCGGTGGGAATCGAGGGAACAGCAGTGGATAACAGAGCAACAAGGCATCGGGGAGCTTTACACTCTCAGCAGATCAACAGCCTTAGTGCTGACTGAGCTAGAACCACCCAGGCCCTCCCCTCTCATGCTCTGAAGTCACCTTTACAGAAATGAGCACCAGGAGAGGCTGGAACACCCAAATAGGTGAGCAGGGCCCGGCCAAGGCTGGTGGCTTCCAGGAATCTCATGTCTGCAAGGCCTGGTGAGGCTTCTCCATTCCAGTTCCTCACCTGGTCTCAAGTGCTCTGGCTTTTCCTGGGGTCCTATTGTTCAGTTGCCCTCCGGAACCTGGTTTATGTGAGGAATGGTCTGTGTCCTTCCAGAGGTGTATGGGTCCAGGCCCCAGTAGGAAACCGATGGAATCCAGATGAGGGTTAGCTGAGGAGGCTCCAGCAGAGGGACAGTTTGCAAGGGGTGACAAAAAGGGCAGGGGCACCATGGGTCCACATGTGTCTGCAGAACACAGCACTGCTTCCTCTGCCAGGCTAGCAGAGATGGCAGACACCAGGCCAAGCCAGAGCATCATCACAGAGGGGGCCAAGAGGCAAGACCCAGGGGATCCTGACTCCTGTCGATACAGGGGAACAAAACTCCCAACCTGATTATGTGGCCGAGTTGTGTTCTTTAAAACTGAAGAATGAATTTTAGGAACAACGGAGGCTAAGAGCAGAATATATTTATTAGGGGGAAAGAAAGCGCCTGTCTGAGAGAACACAAGGAGGACCTGGGTGGGTTGCCCAGGAATCTATCGTTTCTGGTGATTTTTTATAGGGCAAAACCATGAGGTGAGGCAGGTCCAAGGTGGAAAACATGGGAACGCGCTAGGTGGGCATGAGGTGGGACAAAATTATGGTCAACCAATAAGGTTACAAGCACAATTACTCAGATTGAATCCAGGACCAAATGGGGAAGCCAGTCACATGGCAAGTGGGCATGAATATAGAACAGGGTTTTTCCTGTAGGGGGTTGGGTCAGTGAGTCTTGCAGGCTTCCTGAAAGTGATTATCAATCCTGGATGCTTGTCTTTAGGGAGGTATGCATTTGTTTGATCTTTTTTTTAATCTTGAGGTCTGGCCCATAGTGGAGTGTTGGTCTCTCCCACACTTGCAAGGCATCTTATCTTCCATACTGGCTCCTTCTGAGGCCTGACCTTGTCTATTTCTATCTAACTTAGCTGCCTATAACACTGTCACCAGATAGAGTTTGAGGAAATCCCTTCAACAAGAGTTGGGGACTCCAACTCACACCACTTACAGGGGAGGGTATAGGTTCCCTGATTTATGGCTCAGATTTCAGTATGCACCAGTGGAGACATGGGGAGGTTTGTTAAGCAGAGTTCAAGAAGTTTGCTCTTCAAATAGGTGTAGGCCCTTAAGACAGACACAGTATGGTCTGGGGCTGAGATTTTTATGTAGCCTCAGGGGATGTCCTCAAGACTGATGACCTAGGCTGTGCACTCTTGCTGCCTGTTGGGGTGTCCATTTGGTACCCATTAAAATTTAGACTATTTCCATATATTTCAAGTTGAACAAGATGTAGCCCTGTTGGCAAATAGAGGTCTGTGGGAGGGAAAACCCAGGCTCACTTACAGGTGACAAGAATGGGTCCCACTTGCTGGCTCATAAGACCTGTTTTGGCGTTTCCTGAAGGAAAAAGGGCATTGTAACTTGGGGTCACTCTGTCCTGAAACTACCTCTTTTTTTTTTTTTTTTTTTTTT